TGTGTCCCTGGGGGCTGTGGGACATGGTCAGCATCCTTCACTGTCCTCCCATCCCCATGTGTCCCTGGGGGCTGTGGGACGTGGGCAACATTACAGTCCCTGGAGGCTAGTCCTCAGCTGCACTGAGCTTGGGGTGGGAGTTGGAACTGTGCCTCAGACAAGTCCCAGTGCTGCCACCGCTGGTCAAGACCAGACTTCCTCCACCCACCCCACCCCCGGCTTCTCACTGCCTGGCCTCCTGCCCTGAGCCCTCTCCCCTTACCCTGTCCTTCCTGTGGCCATGAACATCCCCACCCCATGACATCAACCAGTCTGTGTCACCAGCTCAGCCCACATGGTCTCCCTCAGCTGATGCCTGTGCACACATCCCTCCCTGTGCCTTGTGAACTTCTACACATCCTACAGGAGCCCCACCCCAGTCACCCTCTCGGGGATCTCCCTGCTCGTCCTGCCCCAGTGCTCAGAATGTCCATCACCGAACTCTCCACTGACACATTCCCCCCCACTGCACTGTGGCTAATCAAGGGAAGGTCGTATGTTGATGTCCAGTTCAGTGTTCCATGATGGGGGGGTCCAGGGGGACAGGGTACAGGCTCCAGGACGTTTGTCCTTCACCTCTGTCTCCACAGTTGAAGTGAGAATTGTGACACTGGTGCACTGAAGACAAAATTCAACATCCATAAAACGTAATTCCTTGGAGCTCTGGTGGCCTAGTGGCAAGAGGCTGCGCTACAATCATGAAGGCGCACAGTTCAAATCCATCAGCTGCTCCACTGGAGAAGGAGGGGCAATCGAACTCTTTCTGTACCAGTCGAATCTGACTCGATGGCACACAACAACAAAATAAAATTAATTTAAAAAAAAAACCAACTAAAAAACAACAACAACGTAATCCCAGAAAATGAAGAACAGAGGAGACCTGCCCCAAGTTCATAGAACATCTACGGGTTCCTTACAGCCAGTGGACGCCTGACAGTGAGATGGGCACATTCCCCACACTGGGAGAAGGCAGAGGTCTGCTCTCAGCTCTCCTCCAAAACCCAGCTGCAAGCTCCAGCCAGGGTGCAGAGGGTCACAGTCAGAACGGAGAACCAGCCCCGTGTGAGGGGGACGCCATCCCCAAGGAAGCCACCCCGAGCTGGCAAGTCATGCAAGGCGAACATGTAAAACCAGGTCCAGTTTCTGTGCACTGGCAGGGCCTGGGGGCTTTAACCCCAGCGCCACTGGGGCCTTTCACCCACAAGTAAACGCTGGCACATGTGCCCAAGACGGCGAAGCTTCCTCTCTCATACTTTGGAGTGAAGCTAGGTGAGGCTATTCCTTGGAAAGAGATTCTTGGAAAGGTGGGTCAGTGAAGGTGAGGAAGACCCTCAACCAGATGATTGACACCGTGACTGCAGCCTTGAGCCCCAGTGTGTCAGACGTCGAGGATGGCACCGGACAGGACAGGCTTCAGATCTGATGTCACAGGTTGTCAGAATCGTACCTGAAGGCACCTAACCTCCACACGAGCCCAAGTGACGTTTACAGCGGTGAGAAAGCTGACCTTGGCAGGGGCAGGCAGAGAAGAGACCACAACCTAACGGTCACACATACACAAAAATGAACACACAGCAGACCACAGACTTAAACACAAAAGGCAAAAAGAATTTAAAGAAAAACACCTGAGAAAATCGTTGGGGTCTAGGGCTAGGCCGGTAATACTTTGACTCGAATCAAAAGCATGATTCTCTTTTTTAATTCTATACTGGTTTATTTACACAGCTTGTATTGTTTTTCACACACACTTCCACCCATCAAATTGTGTGACCCTGGGATTGATGCCACTCCCACTCCTCTCCCATGATTATTTTTAAAAAGTTTTGTGCTTTTATTTAACTAAGGTTTTTGGAAGCAGGAGTGGCACCCACTTCCTAAATAACATGCCTCTGGAACCTCTATGAATTTTGATAAATGTCCATAGTTGTAGAGGGGCTTCAAGCCTTTTGTTCTTATGGTTGCTATTAGTCGTGCTTGACTCAAAGGCAATCAACAACAACAACAACGGTTTACAGAGAGGTTGTGTGTTTGTTCATTCACTGCTGCCTTTACTCCCTCCCTCACCTCCTCCTCCCCAAGTCCACTTTGCAAGGTACCTCTTGTTCCACGTCATTGTCGTGCACGTAGTGCCTGACCATACATTCCTTTCAGACAGCTCTTCCTGTCATCTGCTCCAAAGCAGTGCTTCCTGGACCATGCAAGATTTTGCCCATAGCTTCTCTCAGTATTACAAGTTGAGGCTTGAATTTCTTTCGGCTTGAGAAATGCCAAGTGAGTTCTTTCCTTTTTCTTTTCAGTCCAGTTCTTTGCACATTAGCCATTGTTATTGTTACGTGCCATTGAGTACAAGTCCTGGTGACTGTGTCAACAGCAGACCTGACCCTTGTCCTGTCCTGCGCCGTCCTCATCATGTCTGACACCCTCAAGCCCAAGGCTGCAGTCACTTTGTCAATACTGGGGTCTTCCTCTCTTTCGCTGTCCTCCATCTTTCTAAACATGATGTCCCTCTCCAAGGAACGGCCTCTCCTAGCAACGTGGCTGAGGTACGTGAGACGAAGCACTGTCATCTCTGCCTCCAAGCACACTCTGACTGCACCTTCCCCAAGACACTAACCATTAGTGGGGTGCAAATGAAAGCACAGTGAGGTTATCTCTGCACCCCCAGAACAGCTAAAATAACAGGGCCACCAAAACCTGGAGAGGGGAGGCAGAGACCACTGGGAAAACAGTCGAGAGGTTTCCTTCAAAACCAAGCTTTCATCTAGCAAACACGCAGCAATGACACTGGGTGTTTACTGCTGAGAAATGCACACACACGCACCCATGCTCCCACAAAGGCCCATCACAACTCTCCACTGTGACTGTTCCTCCCCAGAGTCTGCCCGCTGCCCTCAGACGGGAGGAGGTACAGCCCGCTGCCGTCCTTCCTCCTGCGGGGCCTGCTGGTGTGTGGTGCTGGGGAACCAGACCCCACATGGCCAGCTGAGCAGACACACGGGTTTCCATGACACTGTAACCATATTTCAGAACCCCCCGTCATAATAGGCTTCCGGTAGAAGTTGCTCTGTCAACCCTCCGAACCCACCGCCTCCTGTCAAGTCTGCCTGGGCAGAGAACTGCCCACGGCGTCCTTTGCAGAAGCCTCGGCCTTCTCCTGAGGGGCTGCTGGGGGCATTTTGAACCAGCAACCTTCTGAGAGGTCCTCAGGTGAGGGCTTACTCACTGCTTTACCAGGGCTCCGGGTGCATACAACAGGACAAAGGAAATCCACATTTAAAAACCAAGATGCTACAGAGACAGGGGCGCCGCTTCCAAGCCTGGCTACTGGGGCTTCTGGTACCGAACAGTGGATGCTCCTGCGTGGCCTGCCAGTCAGGGAAACCACCACCGCCACAAATCAGCGTCAGAGATTTGATATTTTTTTAAAATCATACTTTGTTCCTATAAATCATATCATACGCTTCTGGGGAGACCGGGGCTTCTCCCGCTATCTAGTTCCCATTACAGAGAGAACGCTGACTCGGCCTGGCCTTCAATTATCATTTTACAGAAGCCACAAGTCAGTCGTGTGACATTTTCTAATGGCAGCCGTTCAAAAACGTGGGCAGTGACACACACTGTCCTTTGGGGACGGCATTTCAATGGGCAAAAGGTTCCCAAGGGCCAGGAGTGCAGCTGCTTATTAATTCTTGGAGCCTGAAATTCTGACAGGCTTGTTTCAGGACATTAAAGGGCCTCTAGAGGAGTCGACTTTTCTTCATTCTCTTCCTTAGTTCTTACGTTTCTATTGGGCAAGTCCGCTGTCAGGGACCTCTCTGAATTACTGAGGAGCAGTGATGTCGGTTTGAGCGCTAAGGTGCACTTGATTCAGGTCATGGGCTTTTCAGTCACTTGCTCTGCATCTGAGAGCTGGACAGTGACTAAGGAGGACAGAAGGACTTGAGCTGTGGCTTTGGAGATGAGCACTGAACGTCCCATGCACGGCCAAGAGCACAAACAGGTATGTCTCGGGGGAAAATGCAGCCGCGGTGCCCCTTAGAGGCAAGGACGGTAAAGCTTCGTCTCAATACTCGGGTCACGTTGCTAGGAGAGGCTGTTCCTTGGGGAGGGACATGATGCTCGGAAGGGCGGAGGGTCAGTGAAGGAGAGGAAGACCCTCGACCAGGTAGATGGACGCGTGTCTGCAGCAACGGGCTCACCTCGGTGAGAGATGACGGGGTCGGCACAGGGCGGGGCGGGGTTCAGGTCTACGTCCACAGGGTCACTAGGGGTTGGAATCGATGTGATGGCACCTTTTAACAACACGTCTAACAGTCACAGTCACTAGTATTTTTTTTTAAATTTTTAAAATTTATTTTACTATTTTTTTTGTGTGTGTACTGTCAAATCAGACCTGACAGGTACAGGAGGAGACTGTCCCCCTTTCTCCAGCAGAGCATCTGGTGGATTCGAACCACAGGCCTCTGGGATTGCAGTGCAGCTTCTTGCCGCTAGGCCAGCAGAGCTCCCTAGCCACTAGTATTTTTTGTTTTTGCTTTTTTTTTTTTAGCCACTAGTATTTTTTACTACAGAAATATCCTAATTTATTATTTTTTTGTGTGTGTACCGTCAAATCAGATCTGACTGGTACAGGAGGAGACTGTCCCTCCTTCCCCGGCAGAGCATCTGGTGGATTCGAACCGTGCGCCTCTGGGATTGTAGTTGCAGCTCCTTGCCACTAGGCCACCAGAGCTCCCCTAGAAATATCCTAATTTAAAAATTGTTGTAGTTTTTGTCATTGTTCAGTGTCGTCTGGTCAGTTCTGACCCATCCTGACCCAGGTCCAACAGGACCACACTCCGCTGGGCCTGCCGGGCCCTCCCGTCGCTGGCTGGCTGGGACAGCCACCCCCTCACCACCACCCCCGGCCGCTGCAGCCTCTGCTCTGTCCACACGCTCCTCTTCACACTGCCCAGCTTCTCAGACGATCTGCTCAGCATAGACTGGGCGGGTGTGAAGAGCAAACACAATCCCGTCAAGCCCCCCTCTGCTGATTTTAAACCAAGCAGTGTTCCCTTGTTCTGTTCAGACAACTGCTTCTGCAGATGACTGGGTCAATGTCCACTTGACCACAATAAGGCTTCTGCGACTCCCATTCTTTTCAATGTTATCCGTTATTTGATACGATCCAGTCAAGGGCTTTTGAATAGACACTAAAACACAAGCAAACTTCCTTCAAGTATTTTCTGCCGTCAGTCAAGATTCACTTGGAATCAGCCGTGACCTCTCTCATTCCATGACCATTTCAATATCCAGCTTGGACTTCCGGAAGCACCCTGTCAACGGGCGGTCTCATGGCCTAGTGCTAAGAGGCTACACTGCAAATCCAAAGGCACACAGTCTGACCCACCAGCAGCCCCGCAGGACAGGCAGTCTCCTCCGACCCATTAACTGTCTCTGAAGCCTGCTTGAGGGCCGGCCGTGAGCCGGTTCCGACTTGCGAGACAACCACATCGTGTCACTACACTGTCCCAGTTGTCTTTAGTAAGATTTTACTGGCATGTGCTATTAATGGTATTGTTCAATAACATCCCCACTCTGGTGAACCTGTCTTAGAACGGGAACAAACATGGGTCCTCTTCCAGTCAGCTGGACTGGTAGCTGTTTTCCGAATGTCTTGGCGGAGACTCCTGGGCACACCCAGGGCTGTCTGTTTGCTGAAACACCTTACGTGACAGCCCATCTATTCCTGGGCCTTCTTTTTTGCCAGTAGCTTCGTGTAGCCAGAACTTCTTCCTTCATTACCACTGGTTCTTGATCAACCACTACTACCTGAAATGGTTCGTTGTCGACCAATTCTTTTTTATAAATATTAAGATAAATAATTAAGAAGCTGGACTACATGAGGAGGGCTGTGGCATCAGGATTGAAGACTCATCAAAGACCTGCATTATGCAGGTGACACAGCCTTGCTTGCAGAAACTGAAAAGCCTTGAAGCACTAACTGGAAAAGGTCAAAGACTTCAATGTGGATTACGTCACAACAGCTGGAGCAAAGACCGACGTAGCCAGGGGTTGGATTTGACTCGGATCCACGATCAGTGCCCGTGGAAGCCACAGTCAAGAGCTCCAGAGACATGGTGCATCGGGAAAGCGTGCTGTCAGGGACCTCTGGAAGGTGCTAAAAAAGCAAGGGGGTCTGGTTCAAGATGAAGGTGTCCCTGATCCAACCCATGGATTTTCGGCTGCTTCCTTTGCACCTGAAAGTTGGACAGGGACTCTGAGAGGCCAGAGAACAGCCCGTGCCTTTGAAGCGTGTTGCTTGGCAGAGCACTGAGCAGGCCATGGACGGACAAGGGAGCGAAGAGGTCTGTTTAGGGGAGGTGCCACCAGGGTGCTCTTAGAGGCCAGGACGATGAAACGTCGTCTCCCATGCTCCGGGCGTGTCATGAGAAGCGGCGGGTCCCTGGAGAAGGACAGCGTGTGCAGTAGAGACCCTCAGCCCAGTGGGCTGACGCGTTGTAGACACAACAGGCTGCAGCCCAGCAGTGAGCGTGGCAGTGAGTGCCTAGGACCGGGCAGGGCCCCCTCCATGGGACGCAGGGTCTCTGAGAGGCTGGCTGCCTTGGGTCCCTAACAACAATAAAGTGGCCAACTTGAGCATGGAGCATTCTTTCAACATAAGATGAGGTTAGCCTGGTGGTGTGGCGGTGTTTGTGGTTAACCAAAAGGTTGGCAGTTCAAAGCTTGGCAGGAGGTTGGCAGTCGGCTTGTGCACAGACAAGAGTCTCTGGGGCCCAGGGGCAGGTCTGCTTTGCTCTTAGGGTCGTTCTGAGTCAAACTCTGACCAACAGCGGTGCCTGGTTAGGCTTCTGGTTTACCATGTTGTTACCGTGTACCGTCAAGTGGGACAGGCCCATCGCTGACCTGCAAGCAGGTTTTCGGAGGTGGCTAATGGTACAGGAGAAGACTGGCCATCCTGTGACACGTTTCTAACGGAGAAGTCAGGGGTCGGGAGGACGGCACAGCACAGGGCAGGGCCTCAGCCTGCGGGCGGTCAGGTGGCCGAGTCACAGATGGCGCCATGCCACCTAACAACGGAAGGACAACAATTGAAGAAAATTTGAAATTTTTATTTATCTTTGCAGTAAGAACCGTAAGTAAAAAAAAAAAACAAAAAATAATCATAAGTGAACTTCAGAACCAGCTGTTAGCACTGGTTTCTACAAACTATTCCAACCGTGTCTGACAAACAGTAGTTTACGGAACAGTAATTATACAGGCGTTCATTGACGTCTAGGTCCTTCCCACAATAGAACAGAAACACTCAAGATTTGAATCTCTAAAATCAGGACACTACAAGTGGGGGCCTAGCAGCTGCGCCCTCCTCCAGGGCTGCAGGACACACTGGTCACTTACTGGACTGTGGGCACCCGGGAATTCTCTTATTAGAGATTCTGAGTGGCACCATCATGTCCTTTTTGGAGACTTTCTTTCTAAACAATTTGATAAACTGAAACTCGGGAGAACTCTGGGCGGGGCATCTGTGGGGCTGTGGGCCCCTGGGGAGGGTGCCCAGCGCTGTCCACTGTCTCACCACCTCTCGAGAGCAGACGCTGTGCCCTCAGGAGCCTTTAGCCAGGACCCGAGCACTGGCCAGGTTGCAGGGTCGGCCAGGTCACGGCCACCCATGCATGCAGTCTCACCGTGTCCCTACTCCATCTGCAGTCCTCTGGACTTGAACTCGATGTGGAGAATCTGCGACAGGCACCTCCCGAACTCCTCCAGGACCCGCTGCTCAGCCAGGCACTGAGAGCAGTGCTCCCTCTCAGCCTCCTCGCCCTGGGCCAGCAGGCAGGCACAGGCGGCCTCCACCACCTCCCAGGAGATGCAGGTGAAGGACGGCCTGTGGACAGTGGGGCAGAGTCATGCCAGGCTCGCCCTGGCATCCACCTGGCAGTCTCCTGCCCATGCTGCAGGTGACGCCTGACTGAGGACCGACCCCACACCTGCACACGAGCCAGGGCGCCCTGCCGGAAAGCTGGATGTGGGCGGCCCACTTCTGGGGACCAGGCAAATGCTTTAATCCCAGGGTCACACGCCTCCTGTGACCACAGCTTTTAGAAGAGTAGAGAGTATAAGAAAACCTGTAGGTTGTCAGCACGCCGTAACAGGAACCCATCAGCTGAGCCAGAGGACCCAGGCCCGGGGCCCTGCAGGGGGGGTGATGGACAAGCAGGACCACACCAGTCAGGCCTCGCTGCCTGCGCCCTGGGTCGGGTCTGCACTGAGCGCTGACAGCCAGGCTGGGCTGACCCTCCCTGAGGCCTGCGGTTACTGGGCCAGGTGTGAGGACACCTGAGGGGACGGCTGGCTGTGCTGCGCCCCCTGGTGGCCCAGGTTCAGTCTCCTCGCTGCGCTGCAGGGAGAGCTGGGAGCCCAGCTATTGCACCGAGCCCTGCCTGAAGGACACCCGAAATTCCGATAGAACAATGGGAAGTGGCACTGTATAAAAGCCAACGTGAGTGCTGGTTAGTCTCTGTAAAGAAAACTCAGGGACAATATCGTGGAGTGCCTGGGCCATGAAGCACCAGACTAATAACTAAAGGCTGACAGTTGAAGTCTGTTCAGGGACACCTTGGAAGGCACGCCTGTACACTACTGCTGACACACCAGGCCCTGGATTTAAACACAAGCTGTGGAACTGCTCTTGTTGGAGCAGCAGCCAAGGCTGCCCGTGGTCACAGGAGCTGTCGTCCCACCAAGAAGACGGCCACTGGCATCGCAGCCTGCCCAGGGTACCCACTCCAGCACGAGGACCTGCACGTCACAGCGACAGCAGCGTGCAGACCAGCCCTCAAGGAGAGCTCCGTGTGCCCGAGGCAGGGGCCTGTGCCCTTGCACAGAGCAGAAGGAAACGGGACGTCGAGAACAAGAAGGCTAGGGTGGGGGCAAACAGGACAGAGAGGTGGTCCCGGCAGAGGTGCCAGCCCTCCCTGCCCTCGCTCTGGCCCTGCAGCCCCCACCCTGTCACTCTCTCTCAGACACCCGTTTCCCTGTGAGGACGTGAGCTCCGAGTACCCACCGGTCCCTCCTGGGTCTGGGTGGTCCTGAGGATTTGGCTGGGGACAGGTGGGGGCTGCCTTCCAGTGCTCCAAGCTCCACGTCGGCTGGCAGGCTCATGAGTGTCACTTGTTCTGGGCTGTCTTCGTAATTTTTGCAGCCAACGCATTTACAGATAGAAGAACACATCATTTTGGCCTGGAATACAAGATGCGCCCATGTGACAGGGCATCCTACGCACCGCCACCAGAATCAACAGGTCCTAACAAGTGCACATCATCAAGAGTGACGAATTCTACTCTGGCCTTAAAGGGTATATGTGTGTGTGTGTGGGGGGGGGGTGTCCACGCAGCGTGTCATCTGCCGGATGTCATACAGGAGGAAGAGGAGGGGCAGTGGTGAACAGCAAGGCCGCATGGCCGATGGGCAGCACACTTGTGACAGGGTCCTTCTTTTTTTTTTATTTTTATTTTTGTGTGCGTGCACCGTCAAATCCGATCTGACTGGTACAGGAGGAGATTGTCCCTCCTTCCCCGGCAAAGCATCTGGTGGATTCGAACCGTGTGCCTCTGGGATTGTATTTGCAGCTCCTTACCACTAGGCCACCAGAGCTCCCCTGACAGGGTCCTTTTGAGGACACAGCTGAGCCGTTGCCAGCGAGGGCAGGAGGGGCAGGGGGTGTGCACACCGGAGACTGTGAGGCCTACATGGCTGTGCGTCCACGTGTGTGCAGGGGGCCCTGCCCCTCGCCCTTCACAGCAATGACAGTGTGGCTACCTTGGGGCAGGGCTGGTGTCCCCATTCCCTCCTCCAGCTTGGAGTCACGTCTAGGAGTCTGTCACAGTTTGCTCTGCACCCCCAGGTCCTGGCAGGTTTCTCAGGACTTTCTGTCCCCCTCCACCCCACTCCCTCTGCCATCCTCAGCCACTCAGAGACTAGGAAGTCCCTCCTCTCTTTCTTCCACATGGCTGGACCAGGAGGGAGTCAGGGAGGTTCCCCTGCCCTGCGTCAGGGTCCTGGGCTGGAGGACTGTGGTCTAGCTTGGCCTTCCAGTGCCCATCTCGGAAGCAGATCCTTGGCAGCTCTGAGCCCCGATGACCTGAGGACAGGCCTCAGGGGCTTCACTACTGGAGGCTGAGGGCCTCCTCCCTGCCTCCCTCCGTTCGCTTCATCGCAGACAGAAGAGCAGGCGGGGAGGGAGACCGTCATGGGGAAGGCCGGGCCCCGTGCCAGTCAGGCTTCCAGGGAATTCACCCGAGCCCCAACCCGCTGACCTCTACTCCTCTCGCTTGGACCGAGCTCTGTGGGCCACGGGCTGTGAACCCCCTCATCAGCCAGATCCCCAGGACAAGGTGCTGCAGGAGCCTCAGAGACTTCCGGTGTCCACTGGCCGCCGAGAGCACGTGAGGGGCAGGCAGGGCCACCTCATGTCCACTCGGAGACGCATGGTGAGTGGTCAATCACCCGGGTACTTCACGTGGCGTCAGGTTCAATTTGTGTTTAGGAAATAACACCAATGCACTGTGGTGGCGCAGGGGCTGCAGCAAGGGCTCGCGCACAGCAGCCACGGTGAGGAGGGGCCAGGACCCGGCAGAGAGCTGTCCTGGTCCCTGTGTGGGGACCCCACTGCACCTCACAACATCGTGGCTGCCCTTCGGGAAACTGGGGGGTAAGGTGACAAGGCCTGTCCTGTCACGCGCTGCAGGAAAGGTGTGCAGAGCTGGCCGCTGCCCTGCGCTGCGCCCACCCACCTCGTAGCACTCGCAGTGGCCCTTCAGGCAGCCCCAGCTCCTGCAGTCGCACCCCAGGCCGTGGCGGAGCTTGACGTCTCCCAGCCTCCTCGAGCCGATCTTGGGTTGGAAAGCTTCGGGGTTTCTGTCGAGGTACGCCTACAAGGAAAGGTGGGGGTATCACACTGGAGCAGTGTGTGCTGATGTGGGTACACAGTGTGTCCTGGATGTACCCCCACCTCCTGACTGTGTCCCGGACACCTCCCCCACCTCCTGACAGGACAGTGTCCATGGACATGCCGTATCCACCTTCAGCCTCCGATACCCTTGTGGTTCTTACAGGAACCACAGTCCAGTGTCCCTGGCAGAGGAAGGCACGTCCCCGTGGCGTGTCCGCTGAGAGGAGTCTGACTCAGAATGGCTTCTACTCACACCCTTGACAGAACAGGGTTGCGAGCGGCCCCACCGGCTGCCCAAGGCTCCCTCTTTGCAGGCGTAGATCAAGAGGTCTTGACTTCAGCCGAATGGCTGCTGGCTTTGAACCTCAGGCCTTCCAACCAGCAGCCAAGCACGCAGCCACTCTGCCACCAGAACGCCTTCCTCAGAGGTAAGCTGCAGCCGTGGCTCCTTCCGACGGGGCTCAGTCACGTGTGTTTATCGTAGAGCCGTTCCTCCCGTGCAACAGGGTTTCTGCCAGTATTTCCCCACAATTTTCCCTCTGATCACTGAGCTCACAGCACTGTAATAACCCACAAATGTCCAAACCCACTGCCCTTGACCGGCTCCACAGCGACCCTTCACGGTTGCTGTTTTCGGTGCCATCGACTCGACTAAGACTCGCTGAGACCCTGTGAACAGACCTGAGTCTCGCCCTGGCTTCTCTCTGCCCGTCATGCGCGAACCCATGGCGACCGTCCAGTGTCAGTCCGTCTTGCCGAGAGTCTTCCGCTTTCTCTGAGCCTCCACCCTTCCCGGTGTGACATCTTTTTCCCAGGACTGGTCCCTCCTGACACCACGCCCGAGGTGTGTGAGGTGTCACCAGCCTTGCCTCTAAGGTGCCCGCTGGATGACCTCCCTCCAGGACAGGCCTGTCTGTTCTTGGGCATTTTTCATGGACATTCAGCACTCTTGACCAACACCACGGTTCAAAGCCATCAACTCTCCTGTCATCTTTATTCATACTGTCCAGCCTTCAGACGCACAGGAAACAGCGAGGCGACAAGGCGGGGACAAGCGCTCATCAGCCTTCAGCCCTGCCCTTTGCCCCTTAGCTTACAGAGGCGCCCGACAGCAGATTCTCCCCAGGCGACCTATTTTTAAACTATGGCTGCCACAGGTGTTGATTGTGATTCCAGGAATATGAAATAGTCGACAATTCCATTTGTGTTCTCGATGCTGAGATGAAATCCATAGTGAAGGCCGTAGTCTTTGATCTTCTGCAGCAAGTGTGTCAAGTCCTCTTTCTGCGAACAAGGTTGTGGATGAGTCTGTGACCCTACGGAACAGAGGACAGTTACCTCCTCAGGTCTGCACGCTGCAAACCTCACTGGAAGCAGTCTGTGTCAGTCACTTGAGGGGCTTTCTCCTCCTGACTCCTGCCTCCCCAGCATGCAGACTGCATGGAGGACCCTCTGTGGAAGAGGCTGTGCCCACTTACAGCTGAATCAGGAATACAGGAGAAGCAGCTGTGTCCACTTCCAGCCCCATCAGGAATACAGGAGAATCCCGTGACTTTGTAAACATGGTTTCTACACTCTGAAGTGCAGGGTCCCCGTACCCCGCAGGGAAGCTGCACCCTCTAGTGCAGCTGAAGCACTGTCCCCTGCGTCAGATGCACAGGTCCATCCGGCCCAGGACTCCAGGAGCACAGCACTGGCCCTAGTGGCACAGAGGTTAAAGCACTGTGATGTGAAGCGACGTGTGAGCGGCTTGAGCCTCCCGGCTGCCCCGCAGGGAGAGCTGCTGCAGTCTGCTTCTGTGAAGACCCATAGTCTGGGGGCCCTCGGGGCGCCTCCTCACCCCGACAGGATTGCTGGGAGGTGGCAGCATCTGCGGGGCAGTGGTGCTTTTCTGGCACGTGTCTGCTGTTGACAGTCGGTATTTTTGTTTGCTTGTTTTGTTTTTTTCTTTTTCTTTTCTTGTTGTGTGCCATCAAATGGAATCCAACTGGCTGGCACAGGAGGAGATTGCCCCTCCTTCTCCAGCGAAGCATCTGGTGGATTTGAACCACGCGTCTTCAGCATTGCAATGCAGCTTCTTGCCACTAGGCCACTATCGCCCCTGACAGTGGGTAATTTTAACTGATACACTGATTTGCCCATTTTTCAAGACTGTGTTGGCACAGGACCCTTGAAGTCCGTGAGTACTGGTCCTCAGTGGGGTGGCCCAGGAGCAGGTGGTGGTTCCACACCCATCTGCGCCTCTTCTCTGGCTGTCTTGGAGATACAGGAAGGCCCACGTGTGTGTGTGTGTGTGTGTGTGTGTGTGTGCGCGCGCGCAAGGTGACCTCTCGCCTTCAGCACGATGGCCCACAGGGCTGTCTGAGGTGAGGCGGATCCCCCCCTTGCCCCCAGAAGCTGGAGGAAGGGGTGGTGGCTGAGCTGGTGCCCGGGCCCTGCCTCGGATGGCACTGTTGGAAGCTTTCCGGGCCCGTAACACGACCCACATGTCCCAGGCCCACACCGAGGCCAGCTGGACATCACGTGTCCTGCAGTCAGGTCATTCTCCCAGGACTTTCAGAGGCCTGCTATTTAAGAAGTGGATACCAACACTGCTTCCTTGCCTGTCTTAATCTGGGAGCTCCACTAAAACCTGTCCACCCTGGGTGCCCCTTGTGGCACTTGACCCACCAGTTGCACAGCTTTCACCATCACAGCGACCCTCAACTTATCTCAGGACAGCAAACTGTCAGACAGATGCTGTACCAATCAGAACAATGTTCTTCCTAAAGACAACAAGCTGACAACTTGGTTTATAACTTGAATAGCAAATCAGTCTTGACACCACTTCTGATCACTTGCTGTGTATCTGAGACTGGACAGTGAATAAGGATGACAGAAGACTTGATGCCTTTGAGCTGTGGTGGTGGCGAGGAGCACTACACATCCTGTGGAGACCAGACCACCATGTCTTCGAGCAGGTGCCGCCAGAGTGCGCGTTGGAGGCGAGGATGGTAAAGGCTCGCCTCACATGCTCTGGGCCTGCTGCGGGAGGGGCTCTTCCTTGGAGAGGGACACGATGCTGGGGAGGGAGGGGGGTCGACGAAGGACCAGGTGGATTGACATGGTGCCCCCACCATGGGCTCTAGTGTGTCAGCAGGTGTGAGGTTGGCGCAGGACAGGACAGGGTTCAGGTCAGCTGTTTATCGGGTCGCCATGGGTTGTGCTCGACTTGAAGTCAGACCATTGCTGCGAGTGGCTCCACCTCTGATATCAGTCACCCACTGTGTGGTGAGAAGACGGCTGTCTGAGACTTCTGTGCTCATGAGGGCCCCGTCTCAGGTCAGCCCCACTATCAGGACCAGGCCAGAGTCGAGGTCTATTCAAAACCGTGGGCTTTCCTGATATTGAAATCAGCACACTCCGAAGAGGGCTGAAGGAACTGGTGGTGCAGTGTGTCGGGCTGTAACTGAAAGGTCAGGGGCCCAAATCCATCTGCTGTTCTACGGGAGGAAGGTTTGCGGCTCAGGAGGCCTGCTGGGAGGTGTGGCAGCCCTGACCTGAGGCCTGGGGTTCGGCTGTGGTTTGGAGACAGCGTCAGGACTGTCTCAGCCGTCTGCAACACTCTGTAAGTGCACCCACCAATGTAAAGGCCTTTGTTACCTTGATGGCCTTAAATCGTTCTAGCTCATGCCGTAAGTTGTTGCAGTAGTTATTGCAATTGCAGTCGTTGCAAAAGTCTCCGCTGGCAAAGCAGTCACAGTACCTGCAGAGGAGGACAGTGTGTCAAAGGCACAGACGCATCAGGACACACAGACAGCACACTTTGGAGAAGGATGTGGCCATGCACGTGGCCGTGACACAGCAGCTCTCAGGTGGAAGTCTGACTCTTTGGTGTTGATGAGGATGGCTTCCAGGAGGAGCTGACAGGAGACCAGCGGGCATCACTGCCTTCCGGGCACAGGAGGTACCACTGCCGCCCCTTCCTGACGGTGCCCACTGGGCTCCATGCCCTCCTCCCTGTAGGCCCACATGGTTCCTCCCAGAAGCCCTTTGAGCTGGTGGCTGGAGCCATCGAGCCGTGGAGAGCCATTTCCCCATCAGCCCCTTCTGCCCATCTGCAGACACGGGAGGTGAGGTCACATCTAGACCAGCCCTCGGCTGTGAGGGACAGGAAGAGATGGGGTCTGGGGAGCCTGGCCCGGATCGTGCCGACCTTCCCGCTGTCACAGAGGTGAGAGGAACGCACGCAGCGGGGATGCCCAGTGCTGTTCCTTCTCTGTTAGGACACGGGGGCAGGATGTCATCCTCCTGGATGCTGATTCCAAAAAAGAGCCGTGTCACTTGGGCCCGTGGGACTCAGACACAAGCCCTCGGGTCAGAGCACTGACTGGCAGGCCTGACGGGACGGGAAGGGGAACTGGTGGGCCTTCTTGGTGGTCGTTTCCATTCTGAGCGGCCGGTGGCGGGGGGTGGGGGGCAGCCCCTCCACACTGTGACAGAGAGTGGGGCTGCTCTCTGGGGTCAGACAGCTGAGGACTGAGATGTCACACCAACAAGAGGGAGGGGTGGTGCTGGGGCCCGAGGCATCTGCTCTCACTCACTTCTAGAGCTCTAGGTGTGAACTGGGAAAGCCTTCCTCGAGGATTCTGACCCACCTGACACTGGCAGGGGCACAGTGCCCTCTGGTGATGACACAAACACCCACCTGGCACCAAGGACCCCCCCAACTTATACCTTAGCCTGTAATATGAGCAGAGTGAAAGCCCCAAACCAGCAGATATACAGGGACTGTCCAGTATCAAAGTCAGAGGCCTAAGGAAACACATCCAAGAATCAACGTGGATGAAACAGGTTTCAGGGAAGAGAAAACCGAGGAAGACGATGTCCTCAGGGAGGAAGAAAGGCTATTTAATTGGTGAAATAGAAACATATGATTTAACAAAAGATATTCTGGGAAATAAAAATACTATCAGAGAACAAAATAGAAAGAAAAACATTGTTGCTGTTATGCACCATGGAGCCAGAAGCCACTCGGAGTTGGCCGGCCCGCAGGTTTAGAGGCAGTAAGTGGCCCGGGAGGAGACCACCCTCTTTCACCTGTAGAGCGGCCGGTGGATTCTAGGCTGCGCCTTTGGTTGGCAGCACGGTTCCTTATCTCCAGGCCTACAGGGCTGCCTTCGGTAAAAAAGGAGCAGTAAACACCGTAGGGAACTAGGCAGAGACCAACACTTATGTAAGAGGAGCTTCAGAAAGACAAACTTTTAAAAATGAAGGGAAGAGAGGAATTAAACACAATCTCTCAGGAGTCTCAGTCTCTCTCTCTCTCGCTCTCTTTCTCTTTCTCTCTCTCTCTCTCCCCTGCCCCTAATAGCCCATGTCCCGTAACAGCACTCCGCACTCCGTTAGGGTTCTGAGACTGTCATAGGAACAGAAGCAGGTCCTTCTCTTTCTCCTGGAGCAGTGGGTAGATTCAAACTCTCAGCACCCTAACATGTGATGTTCTAGCCAAGAGGAATTGGGGGGGGGGGAAACACCCTCATCGTTCTCAACTCACAGCTGACCTCCCGCTGGTTTTCCGAGGCTGTAAATCACATGAGAAGAGATTGGCTATTTTTCTCCCGAGTTGCCGCTGGTAGATTTGAATTGCCAGACAGGTGGGGGCATTTGGGATTAGCAGTGCGGCCTGCTACAGACTACACCAACAGAGTCCCCCCAAGGGACACAGGTGTCCACGTGCCAAGCACAACAGGGGAGACAGAAACCAAGCAGACACAGTGTTACAAAGTTCACACGCCTAGAAACAACCAGAATACCATAAGGCCCGAGAAAGAAGAAACGGGCTTCATACAAAGGATCAGCAAAAAAATGGGCCATAATTTCAATAGCAACAGCAGAAGCTGGAAGAAAATACAAGAAAGCGTCATAATGGTGAAGATGATGTCCAGCCTCAGGTTGTATCCTAACACACCCTGCCTCAGTGTGGGGCTGGACTGACACGTCCAGACGGGAAAGCTGGAGAGGACTGATGTCCGTGCGCTCTTCTTCAGGGAGTTATTGAAGGATGTGCCACCTCAAAGTGAGGTGATAAAGTAAGGCAGGCAGATCCAGGATGAGGGGAACAAACCAGAAAAAGGCAGAGGGGGTTCAGGATGCCGGGAGAGGGCGTGGCTTGCTGAGAAGTGTGCAGCAAAGGGCTCAAACGTGTCAGACATGATGAAGCGGCTCCGGACAGGGCAGGGTCACAGCTTGTTCAGAGGGTTGATCTGAGGCAACTTGATGACACCTAACAATGACAACATGAAGTGAACAGGTGACACCAGGGAGGCTCTCAGCCTCCCTGGCAGGAGAGACATGCGCTTGACCTTGGGGGTTCCTCAGTGAGGCATGTAAGCAGTAGCACAGCGAGGTGAGACCCATGTTGAGCTCGTTACATGAAAAGCCTCAGCACACCAGAAGTCGCCCCTCAGTTACGCCCCCAGGGACTCCAGCCTCACCACCACAAGTCAGACCCTGTAGCAGGGCCGCACCTGCCGGGTGCTGCAGGGTCGGCCCCGAATCACAGGAGCCCGTGGACAACAGAAGGGACCCCTGCCTGCTCAGAGCCACCATCACAGCTCATGGAGACGAAGGCTTTGGGGAAAGGGCAGTAAACACGCCCCACACCAACAACACCGTCATAACTAGTCTAATGTGTGAAACAGAGAGAAACTATCACAAGGCAATGAATGGGAAAGATTGTATGAAATGCAGGATAGCGTGAAGCACACTGTATACAAACTTTTTAAGCAAACCAATACGAAATAAAAATTTAAAAAATCACAAGGCAGCAGGCGAGGCATGTGCAACGGTGATGGGGAGTGAAAGTACTGTGAAATAGTGAAGTCGTTTTTAATCATCAGCACATTTTCAATTTAAAAATCACCAAAAAAGGAAGTCTTTTCAGCTGTTTACATCATGCCTTTAATATCCATCCATTCAATCAATTGAAAACAGTCCCTAACATTCTGTGGCTCATAGAACGGCATTGAAAAGATGCTGAGGTGTCTGAGTTAAGGTTCAGGGACAGCGAGGTAGAACTGGGATGCAGGGCTCTGGACTGGTTTTCGGGAGAAGCGGAAGGGGCAGAGAGACCCTCACTACCAACTCGGTGTCTCAGGCCCTCGGAAGCCTGGAGAGCGAAGAGAGATCCAGGGCTGGGAAGCTGGGCCTGCGGCTTTCTGTCTGACGCAACTACAGTAACTTTCACTCAGGTGTGCGGATTACCTTTATATTCCTTTATTGGAGAAAATACATTGTTTTTCCTTTTATTCCTGGTCTCTATCAGGTCAACACTTGCACTCGTGTGACCCCTAAAGAAATGAGGCTCCAGGTCTTGGCTGCGGGGACTAGAACACACAGCAACCGCAGCTATGACAGTCACGTGGCCTGTTCGCTGGGGGACACACAGTAGTGGACCTGCCAGACATTTGAGGCCAGAAGCAATTCCTGTCCATCTCCACCCTGAGGTCATTCAGCAAGCCAGCCTTTCTTGGGGTCACCTTACTGCCAGGTCCTCAGAGATGACTGCACTTTGTGCCCAGGAACCCCTAAACCTTGCTGTAGGCTCCACAGGTGACAGCTGACTGGCACCTGTCCTCAGCGTGCCCTGCTCTGCCTGCCTCTGTCCACTCCAGACACCACGTGGCCCAGCACCGTTCCACATGTGTCCAGCGGGTCTCCAGTCCTCGGGACCATGATTTGCCCTCCACAGCTCCTCTGCCATCTCCTTATCTGAGGTCTCCCGGCGTCCACGCCCTCGGAGTCCCAGATCCCAGCCTCTGCTGGCCGCGGGGGAAGCTTGCACAGTCCACCCTACACTTCAGCATGGCTCATCTGTACACAGTGTGTGTGTTTTGTGACCCAACTCTCCTGGGCACCAGGCCCTTCCCCACGTCTGACCCCGTAGAGCCCTCCGTGGCTGGAGACGCGGTTAGTGGGGGGCCCAGTGCCACACCCTGAGCCAGAGCTGGGAGCGGGACAGGCAATGACAGCCACAGAGGTGAGATGAGGTGGGGTCTGGGGACAAAGGGAGCTCAAGGGGCCAGGCCTTCATCTCGTGGGGATGGAAGACGACTTCCTGTTGAGCCATTACCTGCCTCAGCTCAAGCCCTCCCGTCTCTGACCATGCTGTGGGGGAGCTGCCATCCCTGGGGAAGGACTTTTTGGAAAAATCAGAGTTTTTATCTGGTTCCATTAAAAAAAAAATGTAAACCAATTAACTAAAGTAATAAAAAAAAATAGGATGTGGGAACGTTCCAGTTAAAATTCAACACTGAGGACACACTCGACTTAGGCTGAGGGCCAGACAACAGGAACCTAAATCCAGATGTGGCCCTGAGTCTGCATGGTGGTGTCATGGCTGTGTCTGTGGGCCGAGGCCAGACAAAAGGTCCAAGCCGGCTTAGGTGTAAGTATGGCGTCACCTGAGACACAGCGTGTGGATGTCAGCTGGAGCGCAGGTCCAGGGCGGACGGTGCTGGGACTCGGGTCTCACAGGGGCATCTGAACAATCTTATGTATTTAATAGCAAAATACTTGGGATTACGTACAATTTCAGACGCTAAGATTTGGTACAGGTTTGGCTTTTTAGACTTTGTGTCCCATGAACCAAGAGTTATTCTATAAAGATTAACAAAGACAGCAGATTCAGATGATCTAAAATAGAGGATCAACCAAGTAGCTGGTGGTTTTGAACAGATAATGAAAATGTCAACACCTGGCGGCTGCAGGTGCTCTTACATGCGGATGTCCAATGCTGACATCACTTCTGATCACTTGCTCTGCATCTGAGAGGGGGACGATGAATAAGGAAGAAAGTTGGGAACCTCTCCAAATCATTGAGGAACAACAATGTCAGTTTCAGGACTAAGGTGCGTCTGATTCAGGCCATGGTCTTTCCAATTACTTGCTATGTGTCCGAGAGCTGGACAATGACTAAGGATGACAGAAGAACTGATGCCTTTGAGCTGTGGCGTTGGAGAAGAGCACTGAGCATCCCACGGACAGCCAAGAGAACGAACAGCTAGGTCTTGGAGGGGGAAGTTGGGGTGCTCTTTGGAAGCAGGGATCATGAGACTTTGCGCCACATGCACTTCGGGCATGTTGCTAGGAGGGGGCTATTCCTCCGAGAAGAATTCCTGGCTGGGAAGGGTGGAGGGTCAGTGAAGGAGAGGAAGACCCTTGACCAGGTGGACTGACATGGTGACTGTTGCAATGGGCTCTGTGTGTCAGGAAGTGTGAGGATGGTGCAGGACAGAACAGGGTTCAGATCATTTGTTCAAAGGGTTGCCATGAGTACTTGATGGCACCTAACAACAACAACAACAATGCAGTTTGAGGACTGAGGTGCGTCTGAGTCAGGCCATGGTCTTTTCTACCACCTGCTATGCATCTGAAATCTAGACAATGAATAGGGACGACGGAAGATGACGTGATGCCTTTGAGCTGTGGTGGTGGTGAAGAGCACAGAACGGCCTCCGCTCGCCGGAGTCTCGTGGCCCCAGTGTGTGGGAGAGGCTGTGTGCTGTTTGCATGGTGACCGAGGTTAGCGACCGTGTCCTTGGTCCTGCAGTCTAAGCCCCCACGTCCTGTACTGGGCTGCGGCAGGCTGGCATCCCCGCTCAGCCCTCCTCCCCTCCACTCTGCATGGACGCCATCCATGCCTGACCTGCCCGCGCTCCTGCTTAGCTCGTCAGCTGTGCCCCGACAGGGACAGGAGGGCACCTGAAATCACCACAGGGGTTGTTCCTGGTCACCCCACCTTCACAAGGAGGTCCCTAGGCCATGTCCCTGAACACTGCGTCCACATGCCTCGTCTGGCCTGAGGTGCACCTTACGGATGAGGCGGCTATGGTCATGCTAGAGTGGGCGGGGCACACCACCTGTGGACACACCCCGCTGCCCGGGAGGAACACTGGCACTTGCCTGCTTCGCTGTCCTCGCCATAGCTCTGCCCACCCTGCCCAGCTGGGACTCAGTGGCTGAGCACCCCCTTCCCTGAGGAACCACGTGACCTGACGGTAACTGAGAAAGGAGCGCAGGTACAGGGAAGGTCCACAGAGGCATTACTGAGGGGCAGGCACCCAGCCAGGGCTCTGCTGAAAGCCCTGGGGACATCAGAGGCATCCGCTTCTTAAAAAAAATGGTGTCTTTTTTTTAGTGTAAGCAAACGAAATGCCGTCAAGACTGAGGAAGACCCGGAAACTTCGGGGCCACGTGAGCCACGGCCACGGCCGCACTGGGAAGCACCGGAAGCACCCTGGAAGCCGAGGTAATGCTGGTGGTTTGCATCACCACAGGACCAACTTTGACAAATGCCATCCAGGTTATTTTGGGAAGGTTGGTATGAGACATAACCACCTGAAGCGGAATCAGAGCTTCTGCCCAACTGTCAACCTTGACTAATTATGGCCTTTGGTCAGTGAGCAGACAAGGGTAAATGCTGCAAAAAACAAGACTGGAGCTGCTCGGATCATTGATGTGGTTCCATCGGGTTACTACAGACTCTTGGGGAAGGGAAAGCTCCCAAAGCAACCAGTCATTGTAAAGGCCAAATTCTTCAGCAGAAGGAGAAGATTAAGGGTGTTGGGGGGGGGGGGGCGCTGTGTCCTGGTGGCTTGAGGCTGTGTTAATTACATGGAGGTTGGTTAATGTTTTCTCCTTGAGATCCGATCTTTTGTGGCGTCTGTACCTACACCGCTCCTCCTGCAGCGAATGGGGAGCAGCACCAGGATCTCTAAGTGTGGGGACCCGTCTCCCTGCTGATGGAGATGCATTAGCACTTCAGAGGTTTGAGTCATGACCTAATAAAACACTTGATTTATATATAAAAAAAAGTGGTGTCTGAGGGAGCTCTGGTGGCCTAGTGGCAAGAAGCTGCACTGCAATCCCAGAGGTGAGCGCTTCAAATCCACCAGATGCTCTGCTGGAGAAGGAGGGACAATCTCCTCCTGTGCCAGTCAGATCTGACTCAAGGGTACACACACAAAAAGAATAAAATAAAATTGAAAAAAAAATGGTATCTGTTCTGGAGGAGGCCACCCAGTAGTCAGGGACTCACAATACAGACACTGAAAAACCAAGACCAGGACATCATCCAATCAGCTGTTAGTTCATATTGACCTAAGTGCTATAAAAATTCAGAGCCAGAACTATGAGATATCATCTCACCCCAGTCAGAATAGCAAAATGTAACAGAACAGCAAACAACAAATGCTGGCGAGGTGGTGGAGAAACTGGAACCCGAACCCTTATTTCACTGTTGGTGGGAGTGTAAAATGGTGCAACCACTGTAGAAGGCAGTAAGGTGCTTTCTCAAAAAGTTGCAAATAGAGATACCATCTGACCCAGCAATTCCACTACTGGGAATAGACCCCAAAGATACCATAACTGTCACCCCAGATGATATATGCACACTCATGTTTATCGTGGCTTTGTTCACAATACCAAGGAGCTGGAAACAACCTAAGTGCCCATCAACAAATGAATGGATAGAGAAGCTGAGGTATATCACACAATGGAATACTATGCTGCATTGAAAAACAAGGAACTCATGCAATATTTTTAAAAATGGGTGACCCTGGAGGACATTATGCTGAGTGAATTATCTCAGTCACAAAAGAACAAATACTGCATGGTGCCACTGTTGAAAAACAGGACTGATATTGGGGTTGGGGGAGACTGAGAAAGATGGGTTTAATAATGTATATTGCATTGAAACAAACAAGGGAAAAATTATTTAAAAGGGATATGTGATTAGTATTTTTGTCATAACGGGTCCAGAGCAAAGCCTGCATAGTGGAGTGGACCTGGGGGGAGGGATTGGAAAACAATGAAAGAATTTTTCTTTTACTTTTCCAAGAGGGGAGTGGACTGGGAGAGGTTTGGGAGGGGAGAAAAGCGCAGCAATGAATGAATGGAAATCCAAAATCTCTAAATTTTCATTGAAATTAATAACAAAAAAATTTTTTTAAATCCAGAGCCAGAAAAGCTTGACAGATGGAAACTGGACAAACAGACATGGCGGAGGCGGGAGATGGCTCCACCTTTAAGGTGAACAGAGCTGGATCAGTTCAGAGGACGTTTGGGCTAATTGAAGCTAAGGCTCCAAGCTCGGGACGAAGGTGGGGCAGGGCAGGGCCGGTGAGGTGAGCAGCTGACTGAGGGAAACGAGACTCAGAAACGTTCAGGGACCCAAAAGCCTCTGACAATGTTGTCAGGAGGGACCAGTTCTTGGAAAAGGACATAATGCTTGGAAATGGGGGGGTCAGCAAAAGACAGGAAGACCCCCAATGAGACAGACTGACACAGCGACTGCAGCACTGGGCTCCAGCGGGTCAGGGATGATGAGGGCAGCGCAGGACAGGACAGGTCTGGATCTGTTCCTGGGACTGCTGTGAGTCATGCTCGCCTCTATGACACCATAACAATTCTCTTAGTGTGAATCAGAACCCTGGAGCGGGGGAGAAGGCTGGACAGGTTGCACTCAGGGCTTCAGAAGAGCATTATTTAGAACTACACACCACCACAGTGAGACAGGGACGCTGGGTAAGGCCAACAGCCCCGAGTGGCTCCTGAATGTTCTGTCATGACCCTCTTAACACCACCACCATCAGCATCAGGGAGCGGTCAGCACACCGGTGCTGCCTGGTGGACTGTCAGATTATTAACGCAACAGGAAGTGGCAGCACGTGAATCTGGACTGAAAGGAGTTTATTAATGATAAGGCAGTCAACGCATCGGCTGGGTCACCGCTGCAGAAGACTGACGGGGTCGAGGCTGCAGCTGCCCTGTCCACGGGGGAGCCGGGTCAGGCCGACACTCTTTTCTGGGCCCTTCAGGCCTCAGCTCACCCTGCTATCCTCATGGGGGTCAAAAGCAGCCCATTGATGGGGATGGTCAGTGAACTCGCTGGGAAGGACACGACTGACCGACAGTCTGCTTGCTGCCCCTGTCCCCAACTGTGAGTGGTCAGCTGGCATGACTCCAGCATCAGAACTCTGTCGGTCAAGATGGAGCCACCAGGCTGACCATGGAGTGACATCAGATCACGTCATTTGCATCAAAAATACCAAGACAAAGCCCGTGTTATTTCTGTCACGCCAGTTAGAACAGATTCTCAGCGACCAGCATCATTACTTCAAAACAAAGGGGGAAGTGACTAGGAGAAAGGCTCGTCCAGAGTGACATGAGGGGGGAGGAGGAGGGAGGGGACAAGGGAGGGGAGGAAGAGACACGTCGTCATGACCACGTCCTTGTCTCTCCCCTCAGAGTGGACGAAGGACATCTTACCACACAGACACTGTGACAGCGACATCTCAGCACACCCACCTGAGTCGGTGCATCAGATCCTAAGGGAGACTCTGTTCGAATGTTCTGGATGCCACAAAGCATGCAGCGGTGCACTGCTGTGGACCAGCTGCTCCGTCTCTGAGAACGTGCCATCAGGGACTGTGTGGTCCCCACAGACGCCCTCAGCAGGGCCTGGAAGTGGTGACAGTCGGGGTCTTTCTGTGCCAGGAATCCTGCCAGTCACGGTGACAGGACACGTGGGTTCACACGGCCCACCCTCACTGACCACCACCAGAGCATGAGGCACCGCAGGCATTCTTAGCCCCCAGAGCTGAGCTGGCAGCAGCTGGAGCAGCGGGCGGAGCACAGCTGAGCTCCAGTCTCCAGAACGCGCCTCCGTGTCCCCCTAGCTGTTGACGCTGCTGACACTACAGCGTACTGACCAGAGCTTGGACGCTGGAGCCACAGCCTAGGCCTGCCACTGGCTTGACCCAGTGTCTTCCAGCCCCTTGAGCATGTCCCACAGCAGCACATGGCAGTAGATGGCATTGGACTATGTGCCCTAAATGTCAGCGGCTCCGTGAACAATGGGCTTGGTTAGTGACCGCTGCTGACACCAGGACAGTGCCAGTCAGCTCGGTTGTCACGTTAGTTACAGTTACTAACACACCTTGGAGTTGGCAAGACTGGGGCCCGCTGGAGGTGGAGTGTCCACTCGTGTGCCCACCCACCCACCGGCCTCAGCAGCTGCTGTGGAGGGCAGCCCACGAGGACACCACAGGGACTGTCCCTGAGCTGAGTGACTGCTGCTCTAGTGACCACAAAGCCAGCAGACAGACAAGCTCAGCTCGGCTCGGGTCTGAGAGGACGCCCAAAGTTCCATACACGGCAGCACAGGCTGTGGCCACCCCAGGCCAAAGGCCAGTGGACGGCGGATGGGCGACAAGTACGTCATCTCTGCAGCCACAACCGAACCAGAGTGTGGGCAGCATGTTCAGATGTGACGAGACAGGGCACCAAGGGGGTTTGCAGGCACAGCTCAGAAAACCACAAATGCACCCCAAAGTCTGTGAGCGGTCACTCTGCAGTACACAACAGGCGACAGCAGTCAACACTCACCCGGTCAGCGTGAGCGGTGGCCCCTGCAGCGGCCCGCTGACTCCCGGGGGGACGGGTCCGTTCTCCAGCTGCTGGGGGCAATGAGGACAGTGTAAGTGAAGCATGGGGGGGCCCAGCCTTGAGACACACACAGTTAGGGGTTTTCAGCCAGAGGGCTCCACCCCCACCCCCTTAGGGTTCAGTGTCATCCAGTTGGTTGGGACTCGCAGTGACCCCTTGGACACACAACACTGCGCCACGCACAGTCTTTGCTGTGTGAACCCATTGGTGCAGTCCATTTTGTCAAGGGTCTTCTTTTTTGCTGACCCCCTAACTTTACTAGACATGATGTGTTTCGTCAGGGACCTGATCTCCTCATGTTATGTCCAAAACCCATTAGATGAAGTCTGGCCACCTCTTTTCTAAGGAACATTCTGGCTGCACCTCATTCAAGACAAAGTTCAACAGGGGTCATGAGGTTGTGAGTTCAGGGCAGATCCAAGCATGGTCACTGAGGAGTGCAGAGGGGTGGCACCCAAGTGCTTCTTGGCCTATTCCCTGTGCACGTGGACCCCTGGTGCACACAGACCCCTGGTGCACATGGATTCCCTGGTGCATGAGAACCCCTGGTACACACAGATCTCTGGTGCACGCGGACCCCTGGTGCACATGGATCTCTGATGCACACGGACCCCTGGTGCACATGGATTCCCTGGTGCATGAGAACCCCTGGTACACACAGATCTCTGGTGCACGCGGACCCCTAGTGCACACGGATCTCTGGTGCACATGGATTCCCTATGCATGCAGAACACTGCACAGTGCAAGTCTGACTCCATAGGCCTTGGGTGGGACCTGAGTCTATGTTTACAACAAGGCGAGGCTGATAAAGACCATGGACCACACTTGGAGTGGTAAGACTTTAAAGAAAGTCTGAAACTGGGGGTTTATCAACAACATAAAGGCCCCTGATGCTCAGCAAAAGCACTGCAGAGTTACTGTCTCTGGTCTAAGCCGAGCAGGAGGAGGTCAGGAGAACCGAGATATGCAGCCCCATCAGAAGACAGGAGGTTGTGTTGAGGGGAGGAGTGGGGAGGGGAGGGGAGAAGAAAGCACACCTCACAGGGCTCAGCCTCAGGGGGTGGAGGGGTAAGGCCTAGGACGACCAGCCCAACGAGGGGCTTCTGGCCTGGAGGCTGAAGAAAGGGGACAAGGCCTGCGTGCAGGAGACCGCGGAGCTGGTGCTCACACGGCAAGAGGGCAGACTCCGTCAGAGCTCACAGGTCCAGGCTCAGAGGGTCCACCTCCAGCACGGCTTGACACTCTCCTCCGCTAATACATCATTTGAGAAACATTTACATCTGGAATCCACTCCACACTTAACCCTCATGGGGGGTCCATGGCTCAAAATTCCTATATTCTAGTGACCCCCAGTGTGGTCCTTCCAGCCAATACCTCACCCCAGCCGGGCCTCAGGCTTGTAACACTGCTCCACAGTAATGTCCTCGCTCAGACGTCAAAGAAATCAAATTATGTCAAAGATCTCAAATTACGTCCAAAGGACCTCCGAGTCTCCCGCACAGAATGTCACGAGCCCATCTCAGCTGATGGCTCTGCTGGGCTCCTGCATTTCAGATGGGAACTCTAGAAAATCAAGTCTTCAAAGCTAACCTCCTCTGTCTCACAACCCGCTTCAACTCCGGAAGGCCATCCTCCAGACATGAGAGACGGCCTGCCCTCGAGCCACCTTGTCCCTCCTGAGATTCCCAAGGTCATAGGTCACCTACCTCCACTCTGTCCCTCCTCCCAGAAGACCCCAGTGGCAACCCTTCCTTTGAAGGAAGGCACAGGGAAGCCAACATCCCAGGGTCCCTTTTCCAAAGAGAGCAGAAACTGTGACCTCACTCCCTTCATCGCCCTGTCCCCCGGCCAGTACTTTACCCTGTGCACCCCAGACCAGCCGGCCCGGCCAGTACTTTACCCTGTGCACCCCAGACCAGCCGGCCTCCTTGCTGATCCCACAGACGACATGACCCTTCCCAGGCCCTGTCTGGTCCTCTATGCCTAGAACATTCTTCCAGGAGATATCCACACAGCACAGTACTTCTCCCCTTTCATGTCCTTTGTCAAATGTCACAAAAGTCATCTTCTTAAAGACCACCTGTGATGACCCATGTAACCATGCAGACACCCCCAAGGACGCCCAGTCTCTTCTCCAAACAGTCACACCTCGTTTCATTGCCCCTCACTTTACTGCACGTTGAAGACACTGCGGGGTTTTGACCAGTTGAAGATCTGTGGCAGCCCCGCAGCACTCGAGTCCCTTTGGTGCCATCGTCCACTGGCGTGTGCTCTCTGCACTTCTCTGCGCCACAGACGACACTGTGGTGTAACCAGGACTTTGAGCTGCTCTGGGAAGCCATACAGTTCCAGTGGCTCACACCCCGCTCTCTGTCTCGGTCTAGAGCCAGCCTGCCTGTGGTTCACGTGCTGGGATGTGCTGTGGTCTGTCCCCTTCACTGGAGGAGGGCAGAGCTGGGTGTGTGGCTTTGCTTTGGATTCACTGTGCTCATGCATATGATGTAGGTGCCCACATGGGCACTGGCTCTGGCAAAGTCCCCAGAGGAAAGTGGGCTTTGCTCTGGTCCTCTGTTCTCAGAAAGGATAAAAGGCCTGACCTCCATCCCTGTGACCTCAGATCCCCCAGGTGGATACAGACAGACAAACCAGAGCACAGGACAGCGGCGGGCAGAGCAAGGAGCAGGCCTGGCTGTGTCTACACTGTTCTTCCCTGAGGGTTGGGATGCGGTCCTGAGGCGTCCCAGGAGAAGGAGCACCTCATTCCAGGAGAAGGAGCACCTCATCCCAGGAGAAGGAGCACCCTCCTCCCAGAAGGAGGAGCACCCTCCTCCCAGGAGAAGGAGCACCTCCTCCCAGGAGAAGGAGCACCTCATCCCAGGAGAAGGAGCACCTCATCCCAGGAGAAGGAGCATCTCATTCCAGGAGAAGGAGCACCTCCTCCCAGGAGAAGGAGCACCTCATTCCAGGAGGAGTACCCTCGTCCCAGGAGAAGGAGCACCTCATCCCAGGAGGAGTACCTTCGTGCCAGGAGCAGCAGCACCCTCGTCCCAGGAGAAGGAGCACCCTCACTTTGTAATCACAGCCAGTGAACGTGCACGGTGGTGTCATCACAGAGGGGAACTCTTAGCGTTTCTGTAATCAAGGAAGGTAAGGGGCATGGTGCGTCTAATGGGGCCACAGCAGGAGGTGCAAGGACAGGGCAGGGAGTCTCTCGTGAACACCCTCCTTCCCTCCCACCGGGACGAAGATGCTGAGGACTCCACAAAGGTGTCAAGTGGAGGATAAGTGACATCGCTGGGCAATCCACCTGCCACCATCGAAGCTTCCAGCGGCATGAGTATCCCGATGCGTTTTTTCCTTATTAAAACAATGACTCACTTGTTGGGTAATGAGGTTTAGTTTTGCTGGCACCGGCAAAAATCTTCCTACTAATGCAGTCATTGGTTTAGGGACATCTGCAAGGAAGACGGGGACAGTTAGTGGACAGCCTGCGTCATCCCTGCCCCACGTCCCCCACGTGCACGAGGAAGCAGCACTGAGGCACAGTGAGCTGAGGAGTCAGCACGCACCGGCCAAAGCGTCCTGATCACGTTCACCACTTTCTGTCGGTAAACTCTTTTGATCCTCTCCTCCCACCCCTTTTTGGTCATAAAACTACTTGATTCAAGTTTTCCAGTACGTGAAAAAAGGCCCAGATTCCCGAGCACACAGAGGTCTACACTTGCAGGGAACCACAGCACCCCCTGTTGGACACCATGTGAACGATTTCCTTTTATGAACCCTAAACCCCTGAAGGGAAAGGCAATACATAGGAAGTAAATGATCAGACCCCATGTCAGACGGTCAATTCCGTGCATTGTAACTGATGTTAGGAAGAAAACTCCGTATGATTTAAAAACCAATGTTGTTGTTATATGCTGTCGAGTCACCTACGACTCATAGTGACCCTAAGTACAACAGCCCTAAACCCTGCTCTGTCCTGTGCCAATCTCACTGTATCTGACATTCCCATCCTGATTATAGCAGTCACTGAATCAATCCACCTCATAGAGGGTCTTCCTCTCCTGCGCTGTCTCTTCACCCTCCCAAGCACGACATCCCTCTTTAAGGACTAGTCCTTCTTTCAACAAGCCCAAAGTATGTCAGACGAAGCTTCAGAATCCTTGCCTCCAAGGAGCAGCCTGGTTTCACCCTCTCTTGGGTGAACGTGTTTGTTCTCTTAGCAGGCGATGTTATATTCAATACACTTCTCATTCTATTATCCATAGTCATTCTCCAGCTTTCTGATGTATACCAAGTGATTGCAAATACTATGGCCTGTATCAGGCACACATTAGTCTCCAGACTGACATCATTGCTCTTCAGTCCTCTGGAGAGATCTCTGACAGCAGTTTCCCAATGCAATTCATCTTTTAATTTCCTGGCTATTGGTGCCAAGAGTGTTGACTATGGAGCCAAACAAACTAAAGCTGTTTACAATCTCAATCTTTTCACCATCTATCATGATTCTGCCAATCAGCCAGTGGTGAGAATCTTTGTTTTCTTGATGTTGAGCTTCAATCCATATAGGAGGCTGCAGTCCTTGACCTTCTGCCGCAACACTTTAGGTCCTCTTCAGTTTCAGCAAGCAGGCTGTCATATGCATTATGCAGATTGTTGATAAGTCTGCCTCCAATCTTGATGCCACATTTCTCCTCATAAAGCCCAGCCTAGAGCCCAGCCTCCTGGATAATCTGTTCTGCATATAGATTGAAGGTAAGGGGCACGGTGCATCTAATGAGTCCACAACAGGAGGTGCAGGGAAAGGGCAGGGGGTCTCTGTGAACACCCTTCCTCCCTCCCACCAAGCATACACCCTTCCCAATTTTAAGCCATGCAGTGTCTCCTTGCTCTGTTCTGATGACTGCCTCCTGGTCCAAGGATAGGCTTCGCATAAGCACGATCAAGTATATGGGATTCCCATTCAGAGTTAGCCACAGTTTGTTATGATCCACACAGTTAAAAACCTCTGCATAATCAATGAAACACACATAAGACATTCCTCTGGTACTCCCTGCTTTCAGCCAAGATCTATCTGACATTAGCTACAGTATCTCCAGTACCACGACCCCTTCTAAACCCAGCCTGGACTTCTGGCAGTTCTCTGCTGATGTGCTGCTGTTCCAGTTGTTTTTGGGTTCTCTTTGGCAGAATCTTGCTTGCATGTGATATTATTAATGATATTGTTTGATAAATTCCATACTCTGTCAGATCACCTTTCTTTGGAATGGGAACAAATATAGATCCATTCCAATTAGCTGGCCAAGTGGTTGTCCTCCAGATTTCTTGGCACTACTTGGTGAGTACATCTGGGGCAGCATCTGTTTGTTGAAATATTTCAATTGGTATACCGTCAATTCCTGGGGTCTTGTTTTTTGCCAGTTCTTTCAGAGCAGCTTGAACTTCTTCCTTCATCACCCAGGCTCTTGCTCATACGTTGTTTTATGAAATTCTTCTGTGTCAGCAAATTCCTTTGGTACAATGACTCTGTATACTCTTTCCATCTTCTTTTAATAATTCCTGAATCATTTCATATTCTGCCCAAAGCATCCTTAAGTATTGCAACTCAAGGCTTAAATTTATTCTTCAGTTCCCTGAGCTTAAGAAATACTGAGTGAGTTTCACCCCTTTGGTTTTCTGACTCTAGTTCTTTGTACATTTCATTATACTACTTTACTTTGTTTTCCCATGCTGCCCTTTGAAATCTTCTGTTCAGCTCCTTAATATCTTGATTTCTTTCCTTTGCTTTGGCTTCTCAGTGCTCTAGTGCAATGTTCAGAATCTCCTCTGACATGTATTTGGTCTTTGTAATGACCTTTTGCGTTCTTCCTGGATGATATTTTTTTTTAAACATAACTCAGTTTTATTTCTGGATGATATTCTTGATATCCTCCCACAGCTCATTTTGTCTTCGCTCATTAGTGTAAACTTTGAGTCACAATTGTTGTGTACCGTCAAGCTGGAACCAGCCCACAGCTGACTCCCTAGCGGGTTTTCAGAGGCAGACCCTCTATGAGGTGGATTGATTCAGTGACTGTAGCAATCGGGATGGGTGTGTCAGAGACAGTGCGATTGGCACAGGACAGAGCAGAGTTTAGGGCTGTTGTACATAGGGTCGCTATGAGTCGCAAGCCTGACCGCACATAGCAACAACAACAACACAAGAAGTAAATGCACCAGAGGAGATTGCCCATCTTTCTTTTTTCTTCTTCTTCTTAATTTTAAGAAAAATTTACAGAGATTTTGGATTTCCATTCATTCATTGTTGCACTTTTCTCCCTGCCTACACCTCACCTCCAGTACGTTCTTCTCTTTGAAAAGTAAAAAAACAATTTTTTCATTATTATACAATCCCTCCCCCTAAGTCCACTCCACTACGCAGCCTTTGCTCTGGATATTACAATAATGTTGTTGTTTGGTGCCATCGAGTCATAGACGACTCATAGCGACCCTATGAACGAATGGCCTGAGCAGTGTTTGTACATAGAGTTTCCAGAGGCAAAGCCATTTCGGAAGTGGATGCCGCTCCTGCTTCCAGGTATTACAATAATACCTAATCACATATCCCTTTTACACTGTTCTCTCCCTCATCTGTTTCAATGCAGTATACATTATTTATCCCATCTTACTCGGTCTCCCCCCAACCCCGATGTCAGTCCTGTTTCTTCATGGAACAGCTCATAGATCTGAATCGCAGGCCTGTAGCTGGCAGCACGACTCCTTACCATTAAGCCACCAGAGCTCTGCAAATCACAATTTACATTGTTTTTAAAATGTAGACACCAAATAACAACTGCTCATGTCAGTTTCTGGGGATGTAAATCACACAGGAGGAGGTGGTCTATCTTCCTCCCAGGGAGTAGCTGATGACCTTGAACCTCTAGAGAGGCATGGCCTTTGGGTAGCAACTCCCTACGGCCCATGCGGCCTGAGCTCTCCAAGAGTGGACATCTCACTCTCTCCTTGCCATGGACTCAGAACTAACTCATAGCTGACCCTCCAGCAGCTTTTCAGAAGCTATAAATTACACAGGCCAATGTCCATCTCTCTCCTGTACAGCTGCTGGTGGGTTTGAACCGCCAGAGAAGCGTCCCTTTGGGTCAGCAGCACAGCTCCCCACAGACTGGGCCACGAGCGCTCCTTATAGAGTAGACACAGCAGCCTTAAAAGAAACAAAGACAGCTTTTTAGCACATTAACTGCGAGAATGAAGACCATTCTCAGCAACCAGAGTGTCGACATTCCAGAGAATGTCGACATTCCTCTGAAGGGCCGCACAGTTATCGTGAAAGGCCCTCGGGGAACCTTGCGGAGGGACTTCGATCACATCAATGTAGAGCTCAGTCTCCTCGGAAAGAAAAAGAAGAGGCTTCGTGTTGACAAATGGTGGGGAAACAGGAAGGAACTGGCTACTGTTGGCAACATCTGTAGCCACGTACAGAACATGATCAAGGGTGTTACACTGGGCTTTTGTTACAAGATGAAGTCTGTGTATGCTCATTTCCCCATCAACGTTGTGATTCAAGAGAGTGGCTCTCTGGTTGAAATTCGAAACTTCTTGGGTGAAAAATACATTCGGAGAGTTCGAATGAGACCAGGTGTTGCTTGTTCGGTATCTCAAGCCCAGAAAGATGAGTTAATTCTTGAAGGAAATGACGTTGAACTTGTATCAAATTCAGCTGCTTTGATTCAGCAAGCTACAACAGTTAAAAACAAGGATATCCGAAAATTTTTGGATGGTATCTATGTCTCCGAAAAAGGAACTGTCCAGCAGGCTGATGAGTAGGCTAGGAGTTTTCCAGCTACAGAAATGAGGCCAATCAAATCATATGCATCTGATTTCAAAATGGATCTGACTCTTGTAATAAAATTCTATTAATTTGAAAAAAAAAAAAAAGAAAAATAAAGACAGACCCAAACTGAGTTCATCATCATGGAGCTAATTCTGACAGTTACTGCGGGGTCAGGACAAAAGCAGTCATTCTTCAAGTTGTTGGCACCAAACCACCGTGGTTGCACAGAATATGCCATGTAAATAGCACACGCACACACAAAGTGCCCAGAGCGCACTGCAGTCTAACACACAAGGGAGCTGGAGGTCTTAAAAAAAAAAGCATGGCACTTGTGTGCTAGTTATTTAAAAGTACAGTAGTTAACAACAGCCACTGCTAGCCACTCCTTGTCCAAGAGTGCTAGGTAGGGAGCCCAAGTGGAAGGGGGGTGACTCCATGAGCCTCAGGGGGCACCTGTGTTGGTGTCAGGTGGGTGCACAGGTACCACAATGAAAGGGGACTCTGAGGGCTTCATGGCGTTACAACAAAGAAGCTGATGTGCAGAACACTATGGAAACGTGGGCTGCTGTTGTGGGCCAGAGGATGGGGGTGGGGAGAACCCCTCTCTGCCTGTGTCGAGGACACCCTGTCACCCTCAGCACCTTCCTACAGGAATGGCAAGTGGACAGTGCATCCCCATCCAAGTGCAGCAAAAGACTGAGGGAGCTCTCAGGTGGACAAGCCCCTCTGGACAGGGCAGGGCGAGGCTTGGCACACCTTCCTCCTTGCCCTGGACTCAAATGGGTAGGAGGTGGGAACTGCCTCTCGGCGTATGGGATTCTAAATTACTGGCAAGGCCAGAGACTTATAGATGATGCACTACTCTGCATAACCTGATGTCCACTGCGATGTGGGTGCACGTGGCCTGGGCACTGGTGTCCACTTTTCAGGACTGACTGACTTTGGTAGGGGTGGTCCGTCCGCTCACCATTCCATTCACTCCATCTTTAGTTATTCACATGGCCCTTTGGGACAACCATGGCCTTATGGGCCGTTGGTGGTTTCTGAGGCAATGGCTATTAGCTCAGCGTGTGTTAGCTCCTTCAGAACTCACGGTGATTAGGCCAGTGTGGCAGTTCTCACGGATGGCGTCACAGAAACGTTTATATAAGCACATGCACGTGTTCCCAACACCTGGACATCAGCCCCATTCGACAAAGGCTGGCCTTTCAATGAGCCCCACCCTCTGAGGACTGGCATGGACCGGTCAGGTCAAAACCTCTGCTGGTCATTCATGTGCAAGAGGACCACCTGAGTGTCCGAGCCAGTCAACATCATCAACAGAGACACATGTTTTGCTCTTAGTGTGTTTCTAGGGGACAGAAGGCTAGTCCGTGACCTGCTTCAGAACCAGCTGCTCATTGCACCCTTCCTGTCTAACGAAGGCCAGACCCAGTCGCCTCCAACGCCTATGTGACACGCCACTGTGGGAAGCCAAATATCAAATTTAATAATAATAGTAAGTCAAAAGCTATATCAGGATATGAGGGAGGCTTACTACAAGCTAGAATTCACCCTGTGACACTAAGACATTCTCTAAGAGTCAACACTGTCCTTAGTTTGTATTTACTGAATCCCTCCCTCCTGAGACAAGCATAAGGTAAACAATAGAGAGGAACTTGGCCTTATCTGCAAAAGACTTCCCCAGGAGCCCTTGGTTTTGTTTCCTACTCCCTTGTGATTTTCCATATAGTTTACCTTCCTTATGATTCTCAATAAATACACAGAGAGGCGTGGCTTGAGGTCTTCAGTCATGGGAACTGCTGGCCCCCTGTCTTTTACGCTCTCATTCTTGGTTGTCTCATTATTAATAATTATAAAAATGCTTTACCCTCCTTCTGCAACACACCACACCTTTTGTGTCTTATCTGTTGCTCTGTACCTGACTGTAGAGAGTTGTTCTGGTCCTGATACTGAGGAAGGAGATGAAGGGCTTTCAACTCTCTGGTTCCAGAATGGTCTATGCACAGCATCTGAGTGCCTCCTTTCAACTGACAGATGACCTAAAATGAAAAACCACCATCAGGTTTCACTTTCAAAGGAAACGCCAGTAACACGCACCATTACCAGCGTGAGTCTGCATGCAGCACCTCATCCCCAGCTTCCTTCGAATGGACGATGGGAAGGACAGATCTGCTTTCTGTGTCCTACTTGCTACAGGGGCCATGGGCTGAGGGACCCTGAGGAAACCTCCAAGGAGACTTGCCCAGGACACAACAGAAGCGCTGGTACTTCCCCTCTCCAGTGTGTGGAGTCAAGGTCAAGGGTGCATTGGAGGCTTCCCTGTGTGTTGCTGGCCTCTGTAGTCTGTACTGAGTACAGTGCCAATCTTGGGGGGATCGGCTCTAGCTCAGGGAGCCTGTCTCCCGATTCCACATCTGCGGTCAGACATGGACTTTTAGAACCATCTTTCATTTCAGTCCCACTGACTTCTCCTGCCACCCCCCCATTAGTAATCAATACATCAGTTTGTTTTAATGCCCATTTTACTTCATACAAGCACAGCTTAGGGTTCATTTAAGAGCAGAAATTCTCAGAAGCCGTGTCCATCTCCCCAGGCCTGAGCAGCAGGCCCAGATGGAATTCTAACCTGCCTGGCCAGCAGAGCACGGCCTTGCCTGTGGCCAAGAGGTGGGACCTCCAGCTCTGGCCAGAAGGGTGGTTCCGGCCCACACCCAGCTCTAAGTCTGATGGTGGAAACAGACACAGAGAGGCTGTGGGCCTTGTCTTTAAGATGCTTACAGTCTAGAAAGGATTACTCCAAGAAGCATAAAGTTCCTCCCATCACCAGGTGGGTAATGGTAATACAGAGATAAGGGGGAGAGGTCCACCCTGGGCCGGGGCTGCAGATCACCTGAATGTCAGCTAGGCCACCATCCAGGTGTAGCTGGGGCTGTTCTTGTGTTTGGAGGGTGGAAATCTCTCTCTCTCACACACACACTCACACACACACACACATGCATGCACGCACATTCTCCAGACCCCTACCAATCCCACTGCCCTGGTGGCACTAACCAGGACCCCTGCCTGCCCCCTCTTCCTGCTGGCCCATCCAGGAGGTGGAGGAACAGCGTGTGTCTAACCGAGCCAAAGCCTGCAGTGAGCTCCCCCAGGTACGTCAAGAGTTCAGTGACCCGTGAACCAGGCCACCTGCCCAGAATGAGGTGCTTCTGTGGAAGAGTGGTGGCCTATGCTGGGACAGGACCCGGGCTCCCTCCTTTGTCTGCACCCCAGCCAAACTATGAAGACTGAAGCAAAGTATGTGTCATCTCTCTTCTCTCATCTGTTAAATAACATTAAGGCCGGTCTCAGCCGCTGTGATGATGAGGTGAAATGCTGTGCAAAAACTAGGACACGAACCACCACCAGCGCGCCAGCTTCCACGTTCCGGAATCACTAAGACTCAGGGGGTGGGGAGAAGGCAGACCTAGAAGGCCTGAGTCAGGGAGCCCCAGCTCCAACTCCCACTGATACCCCTGACTGACCACACCATCGCAGGGGCTGCCTGGATCCCCCACTGGCGTCACTTTAATTAAAGAACCTTTGCTGGATTTGTGAGATTGGGAAGAAACGAGAACCTCAGGGTCGAAGGAAGACTAGGAAGGTTCTTACTCAGTGTCCCTCTCTTTAAGGTTGTTGCGTACCATCGAGTCAGAGCCGACCCTCCACGAGGTTTTCAGGGGCAGGAACTGCGCTGGAGGGGGCTGCTCATCCTGCTTGCAAGCTGCAGCTGGTGGATTTGAACCCGGTGCCTTTGGGTGTGCAGTGTACCTTCTTGCCACTAGGCCACGAGAGCTCCGAGGAGACCAGAACCACCTGACTCCACAAGGGAGCAGGTGGAGAACGAGGCCAGAGCTAACCTGACGGCACGTGCTGGGGCCCAGCCCTCACCACCCGCTTGGCTGCCCCTCGACTTCGGGTAGTTACCATGGGGTTGGTGTCCTTGTGGGGACAGTCAGCCGGGTCGTCGTCCTCCTCCTCGGTGTGAGCACTGGGAAGGCGTCCTCCTTCTGCATTGCTACCGGACACCATGCCAGCCGCTTCCTTTCTCTCCACCTTAAGCAAGCAAGCGCTAGTTCAGAAAATCCCCGCTGCCGCGTGCAGCTGTGTCATCGGCTATTGACTTGGTTCTGATTCACGGGGACCCATGCAGTGTCGGGGGCCAGCTGGGCTCGAGGCTTTCCAGTGGCAGACCACCAGGATTTTCTCCTGAGGTGCCTCCGGGTGAACTCAAACTTTGTACCTTTGGGTTAGAAGCTGAGCATACTAACCATCCCCACCAACGAGAGACTCCAGCTACATAAGATTCCTGCTGCCCTCAAAGGGATTCTGACTCAAAACGACCCTGTAAGACTGAGCAGAACTGCCTGTTAGGATTTCCAGGGTTGTGCTCAGTACGGGAGCCGAATGATTGAATGAATGACTTATTAATCATAAAGCCCTTTTTTTAAAAAAAAACACACACACACAAAAGACCGCTTTACACAAGGGCCTCACCTGATGGACCACATAGGAATCAGATTGACTACATCTGTGGAAGGAACCAGTGGAGAAGCTCGATATCAGTGGTTAAAACCAAGCCACGTGCTGACTGTGGAGCAGAGCAACAACTGCTCATGTGCAACTCCAAATGAGGGTGGAAAAACGAAAACAAGTGCCTGAGAACCAGACCCGAGCTAAAGTCAGTCCCACCTGAGCTTCAGAATCGTCGTGAGGCTACACTGAAGCACTCAACACAAGCGATGGAGGAGCAGATGAGCAGGAAGAGAACAAAAGGTCATTACAAAGACAGAGGAGAAAGAAAAAGCCAAATTGGAAGCCAGAAGACTCTTAAAATTGCATGAAAGCACCAAGATGCCAAAATGAAGAGATGCTGACGTAAAAGAGCTGAACAGAGGATTTCAAAGGGCACTGCAACAGGACAAACTATTAGAATGGAATGTGCAGGGAGCTGCAATTGGAGAGTTAAAAAAGAACTTGCTCGGCAGAGCTCAGGCTAAAAGAACAACAAATTCAAACCTTGAGTTGCAATAGAGAAGCTATGGGCAAAATCTTGAATGATTCAACAAACAACAAAAGAAGATGGAGGGGATGCACAGAGTCATTGCGCCAAAAAGAATTGGTTGACATTGAAATATTTCAGAAAGTATCCTATGATCAAGAGTCACTGGTAATGAAAGAAGTTCAAGCCAAATTGAAGGTACTAGAGAAAAAATAAGGCCCCAGGAATCTATGGGAAACCAACTGACATGTTTCAACTAACAGATGAAGCCTGGGAGGTGCTCACCAGTCTTGCAGGAAATCTGGAGGACAGCTACCTGGCCAACTGTCGAGAAAAGATCCATATTTGTGCCCATTCCCAAGAAAGACAATCAGAATGTGGAAAGTATGAAACAGTATCATTAAAATCATATGTAAGCAAAATATTGCTGAAGATCTTTCAAAAGCTGTTGAGAACTGTACGTAGAGAATTAGCAGACGTTCAAGCTGGGTTTTAAAAAGGTGTGGGACCGAGAATATCATTGCTGATGTCAGATGGAACCTGGCTGAAAGCAGCGAGTATCAGAAGAATGCCTATTTGTGTTTTACCATGTTTCACAAAGCACTTGACTGTGTGGGTCATAACTAGTGATGGCTAACACTGAGAATCCCAGAACACTTAATTGTGCTCATGCAAAACCTATGTACTTAGACCAAGAGGCTGTTGTGCAAATCGAGCAAGGGAACACTACATGGCTTAAAATTAACAAAGGCGTGTGTCACGGTTGTATCCTTTCTCCATACCTTGTCAAGCTGTAGGAAGAGAAACTGGCCTCTATGTAGAAGAATCTGGCATCAGTAGTGGAGGAAGACTCATCAACAACCCATGTTATGTAGATGTCACAACCTTGCTTGCTAAAAGCAAGAACTTGAAGTGCTTGCTGCAGATTATCTAAGACTACAGCCTTCAATATGGATTGTATCTCAACATCAAGAAGATATCATTGGACCAATAGGCAACAAGAGAGATGAAAAAAAGATTGGAACTGTGAGAAACTTCATCTTGCTTGGATCTACAATCAACAGCAGTCAGGTCAGGAACTTGCACTGGGAAAATCTGCAGTTAGGGATCTCGCCAAATTATTGAGGAATGACGATATCGAAGACTAATGTTCACCTGATTTAGGTCATGGTCTTTTCAATCGCTTGCTATGCTTCTGAGAGCTGGACAGTAAGTAAGAATGGCAGAGGAAGAATTGATGTCTTTGAGCTCCGGTGAAGGAGAACTAAACATCCTATGGCCTGCCAAAGAACAGCTATGACTTGGAGAAGGTACAGCCAGAGTCTCCTCCTTGGAGCCAAGGGTGATGAAGCTTCGTCTTACATGCTTTGGGCATGTTGCCAGGAGAGGCTATTCCTTGGAGACTGACATGCTTGGAAAGGCAGAAGGTCGGCAAAAAAGAGGAAGCCCCTCCACCAGATGAATTGACGGTGACTGCAGCAATGGGCCCAGGGGGAGAGATATGATGAGGACGACACCAGCCAGGACAGGGAGCCCGGTGGCCTAGGCTGCAGGGAGTTGAGTGTTAGTCTAAAGGAGGCACCTCTGGCTGTGCAGCCAAGGCCTGGCCTGGATTTCTCCAGCTGCTCCTTGGAGAACAGGCAATCTCCTCCCAGGTGATTTACTGCCTCTGAAAACCCACTGGAGGGTCAGCTAGGAGCCGGTTCTCACACACCAGCAGCAAGTTTTGTGTTAACAAACCCTGTTTCCACTCCTTTTCTGAGCTGTTCGTCAACTGGTCCTGAGCCTCTAATACGGCTGGTGACTGTTAAGGAGAATGAACGGTCCACATGGGTGACACAGCTTGGTCACAAAGCGAGGTGCTGCCGGCCCTGGGCTCTTGGAGGGGCTCGTGTGTCTTGGGGGTGGTCGTGGAGGAGGCAGGGCTCATATGGCCCAGGGGTGGACATAGTGGTGTGCATGTAGGTGTCCCTGGGGTTGTTGGTGGGGGTAGCCATGGGATATCCATGGGGGGTGCCCGCGGGGGTGTCTGTGGAGGTGTCCGTGGGGATGACCGTGGCGTGTCCATGGAGGTGTCCGTGGGGGTGACCATGTCCATGTCAGTGACCATGTGGTGTCCGTGGGTGTCCATGGGGTGACCGTGGCATGGCCATAGAGGTGTCTGTGGGGGTGTCCGTGAGGGTATCCGTGGGTGTCGGTGGGGTTGTCAGTGGGGGTGTCCGTGGGTGTCCATGGGGTGACCGTGGCGTGGCCATAGAGGTGTCTGTGGGGGTGTCCGTGTCCGTGGGTGTCAGTGGGGTTGTCAGGGTGTCCGTGTCCATGGTGGTGTCCGTGGGTATCTATGGGGTGACTGTGGCGTGTCCATGGAGGTGTCCGTGGGGGTGACCCTGGCGTGTCCATGGAGTTGTCCGTGGGGGTGACCCTGACGTGTCCATGGAGGTGTCCGTGGTGTGACCCTGGCATGTCCATGGAGGTGCCCATGGGGGTGACCATGTCCGTGTCCATGGAGGTGTCCGTGGTGTGACCCTGGCGTGTCCATGGAGGTGCCCGTGGGGGTGACCATGTCCGTGTCCATGGAGGTGTCCGTGGTGTGACTCTGGTGTGTCCATGGAGGTGTCCGTGGGTGTCCGTGGTGTGACCCTGGCATGTCCATGGAGGTGCCCATGGAGGTGCCCGTGGGGGTGACCATGTCCGTGTCCATGGAGGTGTCCGTGGTGTGACCCTGGCGTGTCC